ATATCGACATGCAAATACACTCACAGCCGACATGATGGTCGAATTACACATGACAAGGCAGTTCGGGTCGATCATCAACATTAGTGCCGCATTGTAAGTTAAAGTACGAGACGAAGTAGGAATCGAACTTCAAACCAATGTGCAATCCGAATTTCAGATCGACATGCAAACGAACTCCAAACCGACATACAGTCGGCATGCACATCGAAAGGTACATCGACATGTAACTATATCGAGCATTCCAGTCGACATGCAAGTATTCCCTCCCAACTCTCCTCATCACCCGAAGGGTGGTCTTTCACACGTACATGATCTTATGGACTTCGGCCCATCCCGCCACCATGCCTTGGTGGTGGATGCACATTGGAGGGCTCTTGTGGGCCTTTTGGTGCATCTTGGGAGCCTTTGGCGGCCTCCTGGAGGCTCCTTGGTAGCCTCTTGGGGGCATCTTGGGGGTTTCTGGGAGCCTCATGGGGGCCTGCTGACGGTCTCAGGGGCCATCTTGAGGCGGAGGGCTCGCAGTGTCAGTTCCCCCTCTTGGGCCCCTCCTGGGGCTCTCTTGGGGCCGTCTTGGGCTGTCCTAGGGGCCTCCTGGGCCTTCTCGGGGCCCTCTTGGGCCGTCTTGGGGCCTTCTTTGGGGCCTATCAGGCTGGCAGCCTGAAAAGGCGAGGACGCTCAGATTCGTAAAACATTTTTTGGGGGAGTTAATGATTTTAGCCTCTTGGGGCCCTCTTGGGCGGCCTCTTGGAGCCGTCTTGGGGCCTTCTTGGGGTGTATTGGGGGCCGTCTGGGGTCCATCGTGGGCTGTCTTTAGGCCCTCATGGGCTGTCTCGGCGCTCTCCAGGACCGTCTTGGGCTCTTCTCGGGAGACTCTTGCTTGTTCACGTCCCGGAAGCCGACGCGACGTGCACCGGCAGCACCCAGGAGCAGCCAGAAGCACCCAGGAGCGCCCAGAAATTCCGGGAGCATCATGGCCCGCGCCATTAAGAATCTTACAATTTCATTGAAGTGAGACGAAGCCCCCGACTGGGTTGGTCCGTGTCGTGCGTGACGTGCGTGCGGGCGAGGCGAAGCTGCGCGAGTTCCTGCGCCCAGGTCACGCCCAAACTCGAAGAAGAAGAAGAAACGGCATACACATACACTGTTGGCGCTCCGTGCGGATTTCTGGGATCCTCTAAAAACGAGTCGGGTCCCCAGGCGCTAGGGCGCGCCATGGGTTGTCCCGCGATTATTCGTGATTTTCCCGTGGTCGTCCCGTGGTTGTCCCGTGATTGTTCTGTGGTTGCTTGGTGGTTGTCCCGCGTTTTTTTTTTTGTTGTCCAGTGGCTATTCCGTGGTTGTCCCGTGGTGTTCCCGTGGTTGTCCTGTGGTTGTCCCGTGGTCGTCTTATGGTTGTCCAATGGTTGTCTCCTGGTTGTTCGGTGGTCGTCCCGCGGTTGTCCTGTGGTTGTTATGTGGTCGTCCCATGGTCGGCCCGTGGTTGTCTTGTTTTTTTGTTTGTTTCCGGGGTTGTTCTGTAATTGTACCATTGATGTCCCGTGGTTGTCCCGTGGTTGTCCCGTGATTGTCCCGTGGTCGTCGCGTCTATTTATAGATACATAGTGAGGCCGAAAGGTACATCTGCACAATCGTATGATTTATTCAGGCAGTTATTTTTTGATAGCGATATCAGACCGATCGATCGTGAGATTTGTGTGTATGTATACGTATATATATACAGACCACTGAAGCACTCCAGAATCAGTGTACAGCTTTTTCAGTTTTTCAGTGACCGTGGCTTTCAACGATTTTGGCATCTGGGGCCAGCCCTCGGAGCCTCCGTGATGGCGCAAGAGGCTCCCCAGAGGGCTCCTGAACGGACCTCTGGGACAGGCTTAGGCCGTGCCGCATGTGCGGATTCCAAGCCACGCTTCCGAGGCCTTTGGAACAATGGAGCGGGGATCCCCCAGAGCGCCCAAGAGCAAGAGCACCCGTAACACGGGTCTTGGCCTTGGGTATATTCATTACAAGCGTCAGCATAGAGACCTCGAAGGGACCTTGAGACACTCCACGCTGGGGGATAGATGCTGCCTCCATGCAGCTTTCGGTGCCCATATTTTGTTTCGTTTTATGTTTTTGATTCATGCCGCTCCCTAATTGGCCAAATCGTGTCTCATTTCCTAACGAGACAGCTCAGGACAACCACGATACAACCGCTCAACCACCAGGCAACCACGGGACGGCCGCGAAATAGCACTGGGACATCCACGAACAAACCGTGGAACAAGCACGAAACAGCCGTGGGATAACCACTGCACCATCCCCGCTGGAAGGTGGAATCATTTTGTTGCACTTGCTCTGGTTTCTATGGCTAGTTTTCGTTTCTCGCGCGCTCGGGCAGCTTCGCCTCGCGGGCACGCGTGGCACGACACGAACCAAACCGAAATAGAACCCCGAATCCGATTTCCTGGTCGGGCCCGCCTGCGATCTCACCCTCCCGCCTCCATCTACGGCTACTTCACCTGGCGGTATTTGTGTTGCGACTGCCGCTGCTACGATCACTTCTGCTACGACTGGCAGTGCCTCTGCAGTAGCTACAACCGCTGCTCTTTTTGTCGTATGCTGCTACTTTGTCAATGCAGTTTTTTCCAGCACATATGCTATTGGTACTGTTACTGCCACTTCTACTGCCTCTGTCATCGCTGGTACTACTGCTACTATCCCTTGGGCCAGTGTTCGACGAGACGGCAAGCAGAGAAAGGGCTCAAGGCTGGATTACGAAGTGGGAGGAGAGCAAGTAGAGAAGGTGATTTGAACGATTCTCCGTCGTCATCTGTTCAACCATTTCATCACGTGATGCAGTTTTTGTTGATCTCGTGTTGAACCCCTCAGGTTTGTATTGGCATTCTGCAGTCTCCCTGCCAACATGGCTCTTTCGAAGCTACACATGTCGATTATTTGCTCTATTTCCTTGCCGATGGTGTCTTTTGTTTCTTTGGGGAGCCTCGCGGAGGCTTATGAATCCCGCGCGTATGAGGAGGCGCGCCCTTTGCCTGCATGCCACCTGCTTTATCTCATTTGCTTATGACCTCTGCATCTCCATCATCATTATGTCCCTTTGATGCCTTCATTTCGTCGTCCTCCTGCCGATGCTGATGACGCTGAAACCTATGGTGGTGGTGGTAGTGTTGCTGCGCAGTCTTTCAGTGGCTCTTCGTTACGCTCGCACATCATATACTCTTCAAGCGTCGTCGACTTGTCGCATCTATTATCCAGCTGCGCCTGCGGCGAGTCCGGCCACCGTGCCAGCCTATCATTTTCGGTAGCGGCTGCTTGCAACGATGAGGATAGTGATGACGATGATAATGATGGCGATGAGAGGATGAGGATGATGAGGAGATGAGGATGATTGTGGCGGACGAGGGAGGACGAAAAACATGATGATGGTGATGATGATGGTGAGGAGGAGGAGGAGGAGGACGGACGAGGACGAGGATTGTGGTGATGATGCTGCTGCTGCTGATTATGATGATGCTGCTGCTGATGATGATGAGGATGATGATCAGGAGGAGGGGGAGGAGGAGGAGGAGGAGGAGGAGGAGGAGGAGGAGGAGGAGGAGGAGGAGGAGCAAGAGGAGGAGGAGGAGGAGGAGGAGGAGGAGGAGGAGGAGGGAGGAGGAGGAGGAGGATGAGGAGGAGGAGGAGGAGGAGGAGGAGGAGGAGGTGGAGGAGGAGGTGTGTACCCAAGACTCATCAACGATGTTGGAATAAACCCTCCCCCAAGCTCCCGCTTCATAGGCCCCTACACGGGTTCATTTCCACTGAAGGAAGTGCCCCGTTGGGATACAACCGTTTGAAGATCCTGAAGCGTGCCAAACGCCATTCTCAAGACTTCAACGCCATTAATCAACCTGACTGTTGCGTCTTGACGATCCTGAATCGTGCCAGAACACCATTCCTGGGACTCCGACACCGTGACTCAATGTAGCCGTTGCGCCTTGTCAGGCCTGAATGGTTCCGAAACACTATTTCTGGTACGTGAGCCATGGGAATCCGTGGAGCTTTCTCATTCCCAACCATCCTGTGGTGTTGGGTCCTCGTTTTGAAGAGACGGTCCCCGCGTTCCTTCTCCTCCTTCTCCTCCTCCTTCTCCTCGCCCTCCTCCCTCCTGCGTTCGCATGCCTCCCCACCACCCATTTCGGCACACCCCTCACACGTTTCGTGGCCCCATAGGGAGCTCCACCGAAGGCCCCAGTGGCTGCGTTCGCATGCCTCCCCACCACCCATTTCGGCACACCCCTCACACGTTTCGTGGCCCCATAGGGAGCTCCACCGAAGGCCCCAGTGGCTGCGTTCGCATGCCTCCCCACCACCCATTTCGGCACACCCCTCACACGTTTCGTGGCCCCATAGGGAGCTCCACCGAAGGCCCCAGTGGCTGCGTTCGCATGCTTCCCCACCACCCATTTCGGCACACCCCTCACACGTTTCGTGGCCCCATAGGGAGCTCCACCGAAGGCCCCAGTGGCTGCGTTCGCATGCCTCCCCACCACCCATTTCGGCACACCCCTCACACGTTTCGTGGCCCCATAGGGAGCTCCACCGAAGGCCCCAGTGGCTGCGTTCGCATGCCCCCACCACCCATTTCGGCACACCCCTCACACGTTTCGTGGCCCCATAGGGAGCTCCACCGAAGGCCCCAGTGGCTGCGTTCGCATGCCTCCCCACCACCCATTTCGGCACACCCCTCACACGTTTCGTGGCCCCATAGGGAGCTCCACCGAAGGCCCCAGTGGCTGCGTTCGCATGCCTCCCCACCACCCATTTCGGCACACCCCTCACACGTTTTCGTGGCCCCATAGGGAGCTCCACCGAAGGCCCCAGGCTGCGTTCGCAAATGCCTCCCCACCACCATTTTCCGTCGGCCCCCCCAAAACACCCCTCCACAACCGTTTTCGTGGCCCCATAGGGGGGGGGTGCCCTCCACCGAAGGCCCCAGTGGCTGCGTTCGCATGCCTCCCCACCACCCATGTCGGCACACCCCTCACACGTTTCGTGGCCCCATAGGGAGCTCCACCGAAGGCCCCAGTGGCTGCGTTCGCATGCATCCCCACCACCCATTTCGGCACACCCCTCACACGCTTCGTGGCCCCATAGGGAGCTCCACCGAAGGCCCCAGTGGCAGGGTTCGCATGCCTCCCCACCCCCCATTTCGGCACACCCCTCACACGCTTCGTGGCCCCATAGGGAGCTCCACCGAAGGCCCCAGTGCTCCCACCAACCCTTTCGCACGCCCCTCACACGTTTCGTGGCCCCTAGGGAGCTCCACCGAAGGCCCCAGTGGCTGCGTTTCGCATGCCTCCCCACCACCCTAAGTCGGCACACCCCTCACACGTGTTCTTGGACCCGTATATGGAGCTCCAACCGAAGCCCCCATGGCTCCCCCCACCCAATCTTCGGCACACTCCCTCACACGTTTTCGTGGCCCCATAGGAGCTCCACCGAAGGCCCCAGTGGCTGCGTTCGCATGCCTCCCCACCTACTCCTTTCGGCCACCCCTCACACGGTTTCGTGGCCCCATTATGGAGCTCCCACATGGAGCTCCACTCGAAGCCCCAGTGGCGCGTTCGCATGCCTCCCCACCACCCATGTCGGCACACCGCTCACACGTTTCGTGGCCCCATAGGGAGCTCCACCGAAGGCCCCAGTGGCAGGGTTCGCATGCCTCCCCACCACCCATTTCGGCACACCCCTCACACGTTTCGTGGCCCCATCTCCACCGAAGGCCCCAGTGGCAGGTTTCGCATGCCTTCCCGCTTCACCACCCATGTTCGGCACACGCCCTCCGGACGTTTCGTGGCCCCATAGGGAGCTCCACCAAGGCCCCAGTGGCTGCCGTTCGCTGGCGTCCCCACCACCCATTTCGGCACACCCCTCACACGTTTCGTGGCCCCATATGGAGCTCCACCGAAGGCCCCAGTGGCTCCCCACCACCCATTTCGGCACACCCCTCACACGTTTCGTGGCCCCATAGGGAGCTCCACCGAAGGCCCCAGTGGCGGCGTTCGCATGCCTCCCCACCACCCATTTCGGCACACCCCTCACACGTTTCGTGGCCCCATAGGGAGCTCCACCGAAAGCCCCAGTGGCTGCGCCCGCATGCGGTTCCACCACCCATTCTGGCACACCCCTCACTCGTTTCGTGGCCCCATAGGGAGCTCCACCGAAAGGCCCCAGTGGCTGCGCCCGCATGCTCCCCACCACCCATTTCGGCACACCCCTCACACGTTTCGTGGCCCCATAGGAGCTCCACCGAAGGCCCCAGTGGCAGGGTCCGCTCCCACCACCCATTTCGGCAACCCCTCACCCGTTTCGTGGCCCATAGGAGCCCACCGAAGGCCCCAGTGGCAGGGTCCGCATGCTTCCCCACCACCCATTTCGGCACACCCTTCACACGTTTCGTGGCCCCATGGGAGCTCCACCGAAGGCCCCAGTGGCGCGGTGCCTATGAGAAGAGGGGCCTAGTTTGCGTGCCCCCTCTTTCGTTTCATATCCGTGCGGTACTCGCAGCTGCATACGGTTGGGTCCTTCGCCAGGCTATTTTTTTTGAACGGGTGTGCGCGGCGCTCCGGCCAGAGCCGCATTTTGAAAAGGACCGCCCTCAACCCGTGAATCTTTTGCAACTTTAACGACGAGTGTGCGCGGCGCTAAGGCGCGAACCACATTTTGAAAACGACCCGCCCTCATTCCGTGAAACTTAAAAAATTGAGCGTGCGCGGCGCCCAGGCGAGAGCCACATTTTGAAAACTACCCGCCTTCATTCCGTGAGATTCTTGCACACTTTTATTAGACGAGTGTGCGCGGTGCCAGGGCGAGGGCCACATTTTGGAGGGGGCCCGCCCTCCATATGTGAAGCTTTTGCCAGTTTTCAAGCTTCAGGATCGCAGATGCTCAGGAAGTCTCAGGCGAAACGCCCGGCCCGCTCTTCCAACCGTCCTCTGGGTGCGACAGGGAGGAGTTCTTTTAAAGGAAAAGAATGAAGAGCCGTCGCATGTGACACCAGTCGTCTTCACTTCTCGAGGAGCTCTCCTGAATCTCATTTGGGCCGTCATGGGGCTGGCCATGGCTCCTGTGAGGCAGTTTTGGGGGTCCATTGGGTTCCTCTCGGGCCGTCTTGGGGCCCTCTTGAGCCGTCTTGGGGCTCTCTTGCGGCCTTCGTGGCCGTCTGGGGATGTCTTGGGGCCGTCGTGGGGCCGTCCCGGGCTGTCCTGGGGCCATGCTGGGCTGTCTTGAGGCCATATTGGAGGCCTTGCTATTTTGAGGCCCGCTTGGATTGTCGTAGGGGCATCTTGGAGGCCTCTTGAGCCGTCTTGAGCCGACGGAAGCTGGAAAAGGCGAGACTGCGAGAATCCTTCAAACGCTTACGGAAAATCAATTGGTTTTGCCTTCTTCGGTCTTCGGGCCTTGCTGGAGATTCACTTGGGGCCCTCTTGGCCGTCTTGCAGGCCCCTTCCACCGTCTCGAGGCCATCTTGGGGCCATCTGAGGCCACCTTAGAAGCATCTTGGGCCATCTTGGGCCGTCTTGGTGGCCTGCCTGGACTGTTTCGGAATCTATCGTGGTCAGCTTGGACGCTTCGGGGAGCGCCAGGGGCGCGCTGGGGCTTCCAGAGAGCGTCGGGAGAGGGGGGGCGATGCACGCAGAAGTCTGCTGGCAGAGGTGGGAGGGGGGTCCCTCAGAAGAGGGCATAAGACCCTGCTGGACTGCACTGGGCACTCCACCAGCAGCAGACGCAGTCAGCCAATGGGGGACGTTCACTCAATATTTGCCCCTACTTTTTGCACGTGCTCGCACCCTCTCCTCTTCGCAGCTCTGATTAGATCATGCCCCGACAAGGGCGACGGTGCCACCTGATTTTGCAGGCACTGCGTTTGAGAAGACATACATCTCAGAGAGTGCCTCAACGTGCCAAGCGCACGGTGGTGGATAGAAGCGTCGTGCGGGCCTCCGGGCTCGAGGACGGCGCACTTCCCTCTCCCCGCCCTGATTAGCCACTTGGGCCCCGGGATCCGGATCCCCTTCTTGGCGCTTGCGGGGGGCTCAGTCGGCCCTGAGAGGCTTTCGAGATGTTTCGTCCGCACGCGCAGGGATCGCTAAAGACTGCCCAGAAGGATGGCCCAGCACGCTCCAAGATGAGTTCAGAGCGACCCCCCAAGAGTCCTCCTCCTCCCTCTCCTCCTCCTACTCCTCCCGCCCCCATTCTCATACGAAGTCCTCCCCACGTTCCTGATGTTATTCCTCCTCGTCGTTTTCTTCCTTCTCCTCCTCTTCCCCCTCTACGTCGTCATTGACCTCCTTCTTGTATTTCTCCTGTTCCTCCTCATCCTCCTCCTCCGCCTGCTCGTCGAGCCCACCAGGTGCCTCAAAAGAGGCTCCAAGAGTCTTCGAGAAAGGCCCCAGACAGCTTAAATCAGCCCAACATTTTTTGTGTTATCTTTTTAAGTATTATGTGAATATTTTACCCAGGCCCTACGGCTGGGGCTGTTGTCATCATTGTTGCGCCTCCACTTCGCTCACCCGGCTCCTCCCTGTGTCGCTCGCTCATGATCAGATTCGCTCATGCGCGGCCCTTTTGCACGCAGACTAGTTTATACTCGTACTCACTTGCGCTCACACTCGCTCACACTCAAGCCGGCTCATACTCAGATCTACTCATACTTAGACCTTCTCACGCTCAGAGCCACTCATACTCGGACCCACTCATCCTCAGATTCGCTCGTACTCAGATTCATTCAACCTTGGATCCATTCACACTCAGACCACTAATACCCAGACTCACTCATGGTTAGACTCACTTGCAATCAAACACGCTCATGCTATGACCACTTATGCTCAGACGGACTCACACTAAGACTCACTCACACTCAGACTCACTCACATTCAGACTCACTCATACTCAGACTCCGCATGCTCAGGCCAACTCAGACGTACAATCCCATCTAGTTCCGTTCTGCATGTCCAGTTGTCGGTCTCATGTCTTCCTGTCGCTGGCCCCTGGACCAGGCCTGCCCACGAATTTAGCGCGCTTAGGCACGAGCGCGGTTATGAATGTATCCCTCGGGCTTGTAGCAGCGATGTTCTCTGCCCTGGGTGCCACGAGGCTTAACTGCTGGCACGAGTGGTACGACTTGTGGGCTGCTCTTTGTCATCTCTCCAGTCGGGGGCTCACAGAGGGTGAGCTGGTGGTGCACCCCGAAATGGGGTTCGGAAGCGAGTTCGGCAGAACGCTGATGTTTCCTTCGTTACTGTCCCCTTGCCCCCCTCTCTGGCCCTACTCCCTCCTTGAGAATCCCGATCCAGAGTTGCAATCCCAGCCTGCACCGCCACTGCTCGTTGACTACACCATCGAAAAGAGCCGACGCTGGGCTCGGACGGCCAGCACCACGGCCCCCCCCTTACAATCACAGTTCGTCGCATGAGCTTGCCTGTGACAGGTCGGCGCAGCGGTCTTCGTTGACTGGCGATCGTCTGCTTCACGCTATTGTTCTAGTCGCACCGTGGTGAGATTCAGGGGTCGCGCGCTTCTCTTCTTTTCTCCTCCCTTTCGGGAAAGAAGAAACATCCCAGACATCCGACGTCACGTTTCTCTTCTCGTGCCGTGGCGCCCTGGACCCCTGGACCACCTCCCCGAGGCCGTGTCCTTATCCCGAGCCGCATCTTGCACTGCCCAGGCCCAGAAGCGGCCCCCGCACGCAGGAAGCGGCGAACACCTGCTGCTCGCCAGCGGTCTGGGGCGACAGCTTGCACCGCCGTTGCTCGGTGGCGCGTCCGGGGGGGGGAAGTTGGAGGGAGCAGGCCTTCTCAGAAGTCGGCAGGGCTGCTCAGAAGCCGCCTGGCCTTCTGAGGAGCTATCCGTGTCTTCGGGAACGGCTTAGATATTAGGCTTAAGTCCGGCCTGCCCCTCTACAGGAGGAATATTCAAAGATAGTAAAAATAGTTAGGGGACGATTTTTTGATTCATTTTTGATTTTTGTTTGAGCATTTTTGGGGTATTTGTAATTTTTCGTTCAAAATCTGGCTGTAGGAGGACATGCCCGACCTAAGACTAGAACAATTCTCAGAGGGCCAGAGGTCTTCCGAGCCTTCTGAGAAGGCCCGGCCCCTCCAACTTCCCCCCCTGGGCTCGCCGCCGAGCTGTACCCCTCGTCGTGAGGAACCTCCTGGACGCCTCGCGCGGCGCGCAATAGCTGTATTGTCTAGTCCGCACGTCTGTGCCGCAAGATGTGGGACGACGCTCGCGCGGCGGTGCTCCAGCGCAAGTCCGACGGGACCCCGACAGAACCCACGACGTGCACCCGACGCAAAAGCCGACGCGAGCCAGATGCGGATCCGACGCGGGCTCCGACGTGGATGGGGTCTCGAGTTGCCGTGCGAGGCCTCCAGGACTGTCCTCCGCACAGCCCTTGGCTGCAGCACTGGCTGGAGCCGACTCTCGGCTCGGAACGGCCCGCGCCATCGGGGGCTCCCTGCAGCCGCCCGTCCCCGGGCGCAGCCTGCGGCGTGCGGCCGAGCGTCCCTCCCGCTGCTCGGGGGCGAGCGCGGCGCGAGACGCCGTGCGGCCGTGTCGGATGTGGCCCTTGGCCGGTCTCCTCCAGGAGCCCGAAGCCAGAGGCGGAAGAAGGCCGGGAGGGAGGGAGGCCTGTGGAGGAGGAGTAGGAGTAGGAGTAGGAGTCAAGCTAGCCAGCTCGAGCGAGTCAAGCATGGCATGCCCAGTCCCACCCGCCCTCCCACAACAAAAGAAGCAAAGCTGGCACAACTGGGGGCCGAAGTCACACCGGCCAGCCGGTTTGGTACAGCTGATGCGGCCGCGATGGCGGTTGCCGACGGGAACTGGCGAGCGCGTGTTGAATGCCGCGCACGCATTGCCAGACGAGTCGAGAATGGCCCGGTACACCGCAGGAAGCCAGAGGTGGCCGGAGGAAGCCCGACGGTCTGACAGGACACCCCAAAGCATTTTTGTGAAAAAGCATTGGGTTTTTGATGTTTTTATGTTGAAATGCTTGCAAACACACGGTGTTCGGTAGGATTCTGACATGAACGCGCGAGTGTGCTCTTTGTGGTATTTTTTGCACAGGATTCGCGGCCTGGGTGCATGACAGAGCATCGCGAGTGCACCGCGCGATGACGTGAAATCGCTGGATTTGACAGAATTCTTAAGATTCCTATGGTTTTCCTATGATTTCAGCAAGAGAGCCCGGGCGGGAAATTTGTACAATTTTTGTGAAAAAGCATTGGGTTTTTGATGTTTTTATGTTGAAATGCTTGCAAACACACGGTGTTCGGTAGGATTCTGACATGAACGCGCGCGTGTGCTCTTTGTGGTATTTTTTGCAATGGATTATCGCCGTGGACGACAGGACGTCCATGTCGAGAGGAAAAAATAAGAAAAATGTTGATTTTGTATTGTTTTTTACAGGTTAGGATGGGACCCCCCGGATGCGGCCCCTAATGGCCGGCCTGAGGGGGGAGTAGGAGTATATTCTAATAAGGAATCAAGCTAGCCAGCTCGAGCGAGTCAAGCATGGCATGCCCAGTCCCACCCGCCCTCCCACAACATAAGAAGCAAAGCTGGCACAACTGGGGGCCGAAGTCACACCGGCCAGCCGGTTTGGTACAGCTGATGCGGCCGCGATGGCGGTTGCCGACGGGAACTGGCGAGCGCGTGTTGAATGCCGCGCACGCATTGCCAGACGAGTCGAGAATGGCCCGGTACACCGCAGGAAGCCAGAGGTGGCCGGAGGAAGCCCGACGGTCTGACAGGACACCCCAAAACATTTTTGTGAAAAACAATTGGATTTTTGATGTTTTTATGTTGAAATGCTTGCAAACACACAGTGTTCGGTAGGATTCTGACATGAACGCGCGAGTGTGCTCTTTGTGGTATTTTTTTGCACAGGATTCGCGGCCTGGGTGCATGACAGAGCATCGCGAGTGCACCGCGCGATGACGTGAAATCGCTGGATTTGACAGAATTCTTAAGATTCCTATGGTTTTCCTATGATTTCAGCAAGAGAGCCCGGGCGGGAAATTTGTACAATTTTTGTGAAAAAGCATTGGGTTTTTGATGTTTTTATGTTGAAATGCTTGCAAACACACGGTGTTCGGTAGGATTCTGACATGAACGCGCGCGTGTGCTCTTTGTGGTATTTTTTGCAATGGATTATCGCCGTGGACGACAGGACGTCCATGTCGAGAGGAAAAAATAAGAAAAATGTTGATTTTGTATTGTTTTTTACATGTTAGGATGGGACCCCCCGGATGCGGCCCCTAATGGCCGGCCTGAGGGGGGAGTAGGAGTATATTCTAATAAGGAATAAGGATAGGAATGGGTAGGAAAGGAGTAAGTAGGAGTAGGAGTAGGAGTAGGAGTAGGAGTCAAGCTAGCCAGCTCGAGCGAGTCAAGCATGGCATGCCCAGTCCCACCCGCCCTCCCACAACATAAGAAGCAAAGCTGGCACAACTGGGGGCCGAAGTCACACCGGCCAGCCGGTTTGGTACAGCTGATGCGGCCGCGATGGCGGTTGCCGACGGGAACTGGCGAGCGCGTGTTGAATGCCGCGCACGCATTGCCAGACGAGTCGAGAATGGCCCGGTACACCGCAGGAAGCCAGAGGTGGCCGGAGGAAGCCCGACGGTCTGACAGGACACCCCAAAGCATTTTTGTGAAAAGCATTGGGTTTTTGATGTTTTTATGTTGAAATGCTTGCAAACACACGGTGTTCGGTAGGATTCTGACATGAACGCGCGAGTGTGCTCTTTGTGGTATTTTTTGCACAGGATTCGCGGCCTGGGTGCATGACAGAGCATCGCGAGTGCACCGCGCGATGACGCGAAATCGCTGGATTTGACAAAATTCTTAAGATTCCTATGGTTTTCCTATGATTTCAGCAAGAGAGCCCGGGCGGGAAATTTGTACAATTTTTGTGAAAAACATTGGGTTTTTGATGTTTTTATGTTGAAATGCTTGCAAACACAAGGTGTTCGGTAGGATTCTGACATGAACGCGCGCGTGTGCTCTTTGTGGTATTTTTTGCAATGGATTATCGCCGTGGACGACAAGACGTCCATGTCGAGAGGAAAAAATAAGAAAAATGTTGATTTTGTATTGTTTTTTACAGGTTAGGATGGGACCCCCCGGATGCGGCCCCTAATGGCCGGCCTGAGGGGGGAGTAGGAGTATATTCTAATAGGAATAGTAGGAGTAGGAGTAGGAGTAGGAGTAGTAGGAGTAGTAGGAGTAGTAGTAGTAGTAGTAGTAGTAGTAGTAGTAGTAGTAGTAGTAGTAGTAGTAGTAGTAGTAGTAGAGTAGTAGTAGTAGTAGTAGTAGTAGTAGTAGTAGTAGTAGTAGTAGTAGTAAGTAGTAGTAGTAGTAGTAGTAGTAGTAGTAGTAGTAGTAGTAGTAGTAGTAGTAGTAGTAGTAGTAGTAAGTAGTAGTAGTAGTAGTAGGAGGATGAGGAGGAGGAGGAGGAGGAGGAGGAGGAGGAGGAGGAGGAGGAGGGGGGAGGGGGAGGGGGAGAGGAGGAGGAGGAGGAGGAGGAGGAAGGAGGGAGGAGGAGGAGGAGGAGGAGGAGGAGGAGGAGGAGGGGGATGAGGAGGAGGAGAGGAGGATAGGAGGAGGAGGGAGGAGGTGGAGGAGGAGGAGCGGCAGGAGGAAGAGGACGAGGAGCAGGGGGATGAGAAATTGGGAGAGACGAGGGGGGAGGATGGGACAGGGCAAGGCACTTTGTGTAAATGAGCAGGCTCATGCAAATGCACCGGCGGGCGTAAGAGTCAAGGCCAGCGGACCAGCAAATCGCTGACAGGGTGCAAAACATTAGGCACGCCCAGGTACAACGAGCCATGAGGATGAGAGGGGATGAGGAGGATGAGGAGGAGAGGGACCAGGATGGTGAGAAGGAGGATCAGGGTAAATCTTGGTCGCGCCACCCCTTCGCCTAGTTCGGATGACAGGCTCGTTGTGCGATACCAGGGGCAATGCTAGCCTAGCCGTAGACCACCCTGGCCTCGTTTGGGCAAGCTGGCCATTTACTCCTTCCTCTCCTTCCTGGCTCTTCCTTTCTGCCGCTCTCTCACAGTCCTTCCCGTCTCTTGCCCTCTCCCTTTACCTCCCTCCCCATCACCTCCCCTCCCCTCCTCTCCTTCCCCCTCCTCCTCTCGCCCCTCCTCACGCCCCTCCTGTCTCTCCCTCTGCTGCTGCTGCTGCTTCGACTCCTCACCAGCCTCGTCCTCTTTCCCTCTCTTCCTTCCCGTGCCTCCGTCCCTCAGCTCCCTTATCCTCCCCCTCATCTGTCCTCTCCCCCTTCTCCTCCTCCTGCTCCTGCTGCTGATCTGCCCCATACTCCGCCTCATCGCCTCTCCTCTCCGCTCCTCTTTCCTCCTGTCCTCTCCCCTCACTGTGTAGACATATGTATACACATATGTTTACATATACCAAGTCTTGTTGATTTTCTTATTTCGTTCTCTTTCTCTCTATCTCTTTGCTTTATCAGTATCTACGTTTTCCTTTCTTTCGGTCTCCTGGTCTTTCCCATTATCTTGTCTATTTCTCTGCCTATATATATATATATATATATGTATCCTTCTTTTTTTTTTTTTTTTTTTTTTTTTTTTTTTTTTTTTTTTTTTTTTTTTTTTTTTTTTTTTTTTTTTTTTTTTTTGTTTTTTTTGTTGTTGTTGGTTTTTAATATTTAATGGTTTTTGTTGTTTGTTTGTTTGTTTGTTTGTTTGTTTGTTATATATATATATATACAAACTACATAAACAATTAACGACACATAAATATCGTCTTAAACATTGCAATTGTTCTATGCTAATTCTTCCTGATTAGTCTGTGGCTAGCATATATGGTATGTCGACTATAAAGATATATATATATATATATATATATAATATATATATATACATATATATATATGTTATCATCTATTCCATTATGTTGTCTTCTCTTTTCGTTTCATTTCTTCTCTGCTCGTCTCATATCTGGTCGTCTCTTCTCATCTCTTATGTTACCATCTTTTCTCTTCTCGTCTCTTGTCGTCTCTTCTCGTCTCGTCTCGTCTCTTCTCTTCTCTTCACCTCCCTTCGCTTCTTTTCTCTTCCCTTTGCTTCCTTTTGCTTCCCTTCTCTTACCTTCCCTTCCCTTCCTTTTCCTTTCCTTCCCTTCCCTTCCCTTCTCTTCCCTTCCCTTCCCTTCCCTTCCCTTCCCTTCCCTTCTCCTATCTTCCCTTCCCTTATCTTATTGTTCTCTCGCCTCTACTTCTCTCCTCTTTTCCCCGCTCTTCCTTGTCCTCCTCGTTCTTCTCGACATCCTCGTCCTCCTCGTCCTCCCCCCCCTCCTACCCGTCCGACTCCTGCTCCCCTTCGTCCTCGACGTCTTCCTCATCTGCCCTCCTCCTACACCCTCCTCCTTCCCCTTCCCTCCTCCTGCTCCATCCTCCAACTTCCTCATCCTCCTCCTTCCTCGCCATCCTGCCTCTCCGCATCCGCCCGCTCTTCCTTCTCCTCCCTTCTGCTCCTCCTGCCTCCTCTTCCTCTTCCTATCCTCCCTCCTCCTCCTTCTCCTCCTCATCCTCCCCTTCCTCCTCCTCTCCCGCATCCTCCCCCTGGTTCTCCTTCCTTTTCCAAATCAGAAAGATATCATGTGGAAGTAAACGTTCACTTTAATGCAGGAATCATGCAATCAGCGACTGGGCAAGCTTAGCCGTAGGCTTGGGCACATGCCCCACCCTCCCAAGGATTCGTCACAAGCGTTTGGGGCTTTTAAAATCCACAACGGAGTGCACAGTAACGAAATCACATAGTAAAATGGTCCCACAGAGCCAATCGAGCCTTACTTTAACGCAACAATGATGCAATCAGAGACTGCGCAAGCTTAGCTGTAGGCTTCTCTTTCTTCTTCTCCTCCTCTCACTCCCCCTCCTCCCCCCCTCTGTTCTTCTTCTCGCCCCGCTCCTCCTCCTCCTGCTCATCTATCCTCCTCCTCCTCCTCCTCCTCCTCCTCCTGCTCCTCCTCCTCCTCTTGCTTCAGGTCCTGAGACGATTCTGGGCCTGCTCCTGCCCCTGCTGCTGCCGCTTCTTCTTCTCCTCACTTCCCCCATCCAGCGGGGTAGACAGCCGAGCGTCGACGCAGCCTGGTGACCCCGCCCGAGTCCGAGAGGGCCAGACTGGCGGATGGCCAAGCCGCTGGCGCACCGCGGGCGCCGCGGCGATGCCTCCGCCGCTCCGGTGCCCGCCCCCTTCTTTTCCTGCCCCTGCCCCGTGCCCTCTGCTGTGGCGGGGTCTGGCCCGCTGCTCGTTCCGGAGAGCCCTCGCCGCCACGGCCGGACATTCTCCTCGAGATCCTGGCCAGAATGATGGGTATATTTTCCACCGCCGCTACCGTATGTAGGACGGGGGAGAAGAGAGGATGAGGAGGTCCTCCTCCTCCTCCTCCTCCTCCTCCTTCTCCTACCTATGGTAGTGGTGGTGGAACATCGGCCCATCACAGAACGGGCCCCAGGAGAGGTCCGGGGATCTGCGGCACGGGTGCCTCTCTGGCCGCCCCCCACCCCTGGGGAGGTCGGGAGTCGGGGCGGAGGAGGGGGGCGCTCGCGTCCAGGGCTCGGCATCGCTCGGGCGTGTGCAGGTTTCTTTTCGGCGAGGACCCTCGAGAAGCATCCTGGATCGTCTTGCGGAACACAACTCAACGCACGAGGCCGAAAAAAGCGCACGGAGAAACGGCGTCGGAGCGATGGCGAGAGGGGCCCTGGAGTCCTCTTGGGGGGGTCCCCTGGGGCCTGCGGCTCCCGCAGGTGCCCAGGGGGGCCCCGGTTGGAAAGGTGGTGGGAGGGCGCGGCATTAGCCCCGCCAGAGAGAGAGGCAGCGGCGGCGGGCGCTCGGGCGCGACCCGCGCAGCGAGGGCGCTCGGGCGAGCCATGGCCAAGCTGACCTTCGTCCAGAAGACTGGGGGAACGAACAGTGACATGAACGCAAAAACTCGGAGATCCGCGCGGCTTTCTCGGATCGGCGCCCGACCCCCCCCCCCCTGGCGGCGCCTCTGGCGCCGCCCCTGGCGCGCTCCGCGCGCCGGGGAGGGGGGTCCAGCGCCGATCCGAGAAATCCGCGCGGGCCTCCGAGTGTTTGCGTTCATGTCACTGTTCGTTCCCCTGAGAAGACGGCTCATCTGCTCAGCCTGGCCGGCACCGTCTGCCTCAGCCTGGGCCTGACCGCCCTGGGCCTGGGCGCGCTGGCGGCTCCCGCGGATGCTGCAGTGCACTACTCGGGCACTCGCCCGCCAGCCGCTGCTGTGCCATTCGTGATCGCGATGGGCGTCCGGGACATCTCCCTGGGCATCGGGACAGCGATAGTGGCGCTGAAGAGCCCGGGGGCGATGCGGCTCTTCGCTCCCGCTGTCTTGATCGTTCCGATCGGGGATGCTGTAGCTACCTTGTCGCATGGTGCTACACTTTTCCAGGCAGCTCCGC